GAGAGAGAGAGAGAGAGAGAGAGAGAGAGAGAGAGAGACTCAGTATCTAGTGCTGTCCGTGTCCGCTGGCTGACTGGGCTCCTCTAGCTGTGTGTCTTTCTCAGTAACTACAGCACATTTGAGGATGTGTGTCCCAGGGCAGGTGGTTTTTCTGGGTTGGTTTCGCATTATCATCTGAGGCTGTGTGAATGAGTCTGTGATACACCTGCTTCCCCGTAGGTTGGCAGGATGTATTCTGGGCTGTGGAGTGGGCCAGCGTTGTCTTTGCTTGAGCCCTGTCATCTGAGGTGAGAGAAAGGCACAAAGGGAGTTGAGATAAAAATCTCCCCTTACGGAGGAGCTGCCTGGCATTCTGGCAGGGGGGCATTGGTGCCCACTTTTACACGCCAGGCAGCCTGGACGGACTCTCTTCCTCCTTCCCTCCTCTCAAACATAAGTAGCCAGAGAGGGCAAGGACCTGCCTGGCTACCACATAGCAGGGTACAGGGGCCCAGGTCTCCCAGCTCAGCGGTGCTTCTGCCCCGTGGCGGCCTCCACAGCTGCCTCTTCTTTCTTGCATGGCTCTCAGCCTGGAAGGGGACCACCGCATTCTGATGCCTGGGTCTAGGGGTGCTCTGAGCTCGGGGAGGGGACAGGGATGTGGCTCAGAAGCTAGACTCAGGGCCTGGGCCTCTGGATAGGAAGTGAGATCTAAGCATGGGCAAGACCCCCATTTGCACCCGCCTTCTGGGTGTATGTGGACCGTGGAGTCCAGGCCACCTGTCCCTGTGTAACAGCGAGCTGCAGGTGTGTTGACACCCGGGTGCCTGTGGGTGTGGGTTTGGAAGGATACTTTACCACAGTGCTGCTTTGCATGTGTCTGTCAGGCTGTGTATGTGGAGACCTGAATGACTTAATGCTACATTTACTGTCTCCATCACACTGGGAGTGGCTTGGGTCTCCGGGGTCCTATGTGTGTCATCTGTCACACAATTGTGTTACTAGTGGGTCCCACTTCTGAGGGGCTGGAGGAAATGTGTAGTTGTGCATGTTGTGATGGGTGTGCAGTGCGGGCTTGTTGGGGCGACTGATGTATCTTGGGCAGCCTGTGCCTGGCATGCCTACCTTGGTGTCCCCCTGAGGCGCTGTGGCATGCCTGTGTCCCGTGGTGTGGCTGGGTGTCTGATGAGTGAGTGGCTGTTTGTGTGATGTGTTGTCTGCCACAGGCATCTGTGAGAGTGCACGAGCACGTGTGCTTGCACACACACAAGGACACACAACCCCATTCTGGACAGCCCAGATAGAGCTGGGCATGGGTATGGACAGGGGGCCCAGGGACGTGAAAGGTATGAACACACAGGTAGGTGAACACGTGTGGGTGGGGCTGGTGGAGCACTTGGCTAGTATAGCGATGGAATGGGGACACGGGCTTGGAAAGAGGGGTGATGGTGAGTTTTAGGGTGCAGGAGACATCAAAGACTGCCCATCTGGGGGCAGCTGAGAGAAGAGCTCAGCTGGAGAGGAGCTGCCCCTCCTGCCAGTGCCTCCCGTGTCTCTGGTACAGGAAACTGGCCCTGCCTATCTGCCACCCCCTGATGCTGAGCCCAGGTAGGTGAGGGTCAGGCAGGAGGTGTAACCCGGGATCCTCTCTCACTGTGTGGACAATTTGGGGACTAGACACCAGCAGGGCATGTCCGAGATGGCAACGGGTTCGTTAAAGATGCCTTAGGTTAGCGGCTGCTCCTCAGAGCCCTGAAGCGGTGTGGGGGGGGCACAACGACGATGCCACTCAGGTTGCTGAGTCTGGCATGACAACAGCCCTCCACCTGGCATCCTGACCCCAGGCCACTCCCCACCTCCTGTCCCCAGGGTTTGCCTTCCCGGATTGGGCCTACAAGCCGGAGTCGTCCCCTGGCTCGAGGCAGATCCAGCTGTGGCACTTTATCCTGGAGCTGCTGCAGAAGGAGGAGTACCAGGGCGTCATCGCCTGGCAGGGGGACTACGGGGAGTTCGTCATCAAGGACCCTGACGAGGTGGCCCGGCTCTGGGGCATCCGCAAGTGCAAGCCCCACATGAATTATGACAAGCTGAGCCGGGCCCTGCGGTGAGGAAGGGCTGCAGGCCTGGACGCCCACCTTGCCCTCCTCCCCCCACCGTCCCTTTGGTCCCCGCACCTGCTGGGAGCTTTCCTCCACATCCCGGGGCCGAATCCTGTTGGATCCCAAAGCACAGGGCTCTGTAACTGTAGCTACCGTAATTACTTGTGAGTAGAAGAGAGGAGAAAGGGCGGGCCTGAGCCCTGGGCCTTGGAGCCATGCAGGGCAGGATTTCGGCTCCTGCCCTACCCATCCCTTGCCCTGTGCCACTTGGTTAAGAGATTTCTGAGAGGCTGTTCTCCTAAACTGCTGGCCCAGGGAATGTGCTGTCTAGAACCCCTAGGGCTCCCCATGCCCCTCCCCAGGACCCCGCAACCTCTCTCCCCACAGTTACTACTACAACAAGCGCATTCTGCATAAGACCAAAGGGAAGAGGTTCACCTACAAGTTCAACTTCAGCAAAGTCGTGCTTGTCAATTACCCTCTGCTGGATGTGGCAGCCGCGGCCACTGGCTCCCCACTCTTGCTGACCCCTGGTCCTTTTGGGGGTGCCCCTGGGCCAGATGCTCCTCCCCTCACCCCCGAGGTGAGTCTGTACCCTTGGGTTCCAGAACTGGAACTGGGGCATCTCCCCCGCCACACACACCATGGGAATGCCCAGGAGGGGGCAGTGTGAGCAGCACTGCCTCCCCTCCCTCTTCCAGACCCTGCAGACCCTGTTCTCAGCCCCACGCCTCGGAGAGCCCGGGGCCCGGACGGCCCTGTTCACCCCTGAGACGGACAAACTGCGTCTGGACAGCCCCTTCCCGTTCCTGGGCTCTGGTAAGGGCCTGAGGGTTTCAAGGGTAATGGGGGCCGTCTGCACGTGTTCCAGGGATGTGAACCCGAGGACTGCGGGAGTCAGACCGGAGGGAGGAAGCCCGGGCCAGGCCGTGTGTTCGTGTGTGCGCCTGTGTAGAAGCCAGTGGATGTGAGGAGGGGGAGGGAGGTGACAGTGGACCAGCCAGGCTGTGGGGGCACTGAAGGAAAAGGGAGCTGTGGGTGGGGCTCTGGGGGACACCAGACACCCAGTGGGAAGGAAGACGGGGAGAATGGAGAACACAGCAGGAGGCAGCACCTTTTGCCAACCGAGCCCAGGAAGGCAGGCCCCACAGTAGAGGGGCTCGGCCTGACCCAGCCCCCGTGTCCACCCCCAGGTGCCACCGGCTATTCCAAGCCCCCTGGCCTGCTGGGTCCTTACAGCCGCGCCTTCCCTGAGTGCCCCTGGAACTTTAACCCGTACTTCACGGGCCCCTTCCCCAAGCTGCCCCCGTCTCTCTACCCCCCCTTCTACCCCAACCCTCTGGCCAATTCCCTGGGCCACCTGCCCGCTGCAGGGGCTGGGGGAGGCCCCACGGCTGCACCCCTACTGGCTGCGACTGGGGAGAGCCTGAGCCCCGAGCGCCCCTCAGGTCTGGCAGCGGCCCCTCGCCTGGCACTGCCAGGGACCGGGGGTTCAGAGCCTGCACTGGGCGGGAAGGACGACAGCGACTCGGAGCTGGAGATTACCGACGTCAGCGCCTGCAGCTCCGACAGTGAGGGGGACGAGGGCCTCCTGGTACCCGCCAAGGCCAAGGAGGGCAAAGGGGGTACTGGCAGCTGAGCCGATGTGGGGTGACGGATTCTGCCAAGGCGGGGACCAGGAGGGCCACCTTTGGAGCCTCACCCACCCAGTCTGCCCTCCATGCCAGCCCAAGGCCCAGGACTAGCCCGTGGCACCCGCCCAGGGCCTAGTGTCCTCCTTCCCTAGCCCGGCTGGGGGGTTTCACCTCTAGCTCCATGGAATGGGGAAGGAACATGAAGGCTTCCAGCCTCCTTCCCAGGCTCCAGTTCGAGGGGCCCCCGCCTGGCCCCACTCCGAAAGTGCAATATGGCGCTCAGCCTCCCCTGCCTGCCCCTGTGCTGTGACCTGTGTTTGTGTGGCCGTGTCTCTGACCCCTGTGACGGCCCCATCCTGGTACCCTCCCACACAGGCCCCCCTGGGGACAGGGAGCTCAGAGCAATAATCCCGCCCCCAGCCCCCACCCAGGAGGGGCCCTCTCCCCACTAGCTCCCTGCAACACCCCCGACAGCCACCTCCAGAGTTTACTACAAAAATAAAAGAAAGGAAAGTGAGATTGGGACCTCCCCAGTGTTTCAGATGACTGGGGCTTCAGGTGGGAGCTGGGGGGGGCGCTCCTCATAGCCAGTATGTGTGTGGGTGGGTGCTGGAGAAGTAACAGTTAAAAGGCAAGAATGAACAAACAAGTGAAAGGCGGCAAGACATGTGGTCAGGCCCAGGAAGTCAACAGAAGGGGCTGGACACCCCGCCGAGCCCCGCTCCACCCTCACACACACAGACATTTGCTTAGATAATATATATTAAAAAATAAACCTCCAATTCCGGGTATAAAAACAGCAAAGGCACTTGGGGGGGGTACGGAGGAGGGGTGGCCTCCACAGGCAATACTGAGATGGCCAGGGAAATGGGGGTCATGGCGGAACCCCCTGGAATGAAGCCCTGAGTCCCCCAAACAGAAGGCAGGAGGGTGAGAAGGCCGAGCGAGGCTGGCAAAGGCGGCAGGGACCGCAGCTGGGCCCCTCCCAGGCGTGGCCCCCGGCAGCCTGGCTCCCTCTCCTCAGGCCCTTGGGGTGTGAGATGCTGCCACCGCTGCGGGGGTGGGGGGCCCCCTCTCGTCCTCTCCCCTGTTCATCTCGTCCTTTCGAAAGGCCTGGAGGGACAGACGAAGGGGAGGCAGAGAGGGAGAGACAGGGTCAAGGAGGGAGGAGGAGAGGTTGAGAAACGAATGTACAGAGGCCGAGACCGAAACGGCGGGGCGGGGGGGCTGTGAGACACAGGTGCCCACTCTGTCCCCTCAGGGCGGCGCCCGGTCCAGCTCCCTCACACACTCACCTGCCTGGGCAGGAGCCTCATGTGCAGCCAGGCTGGGGGACAGGGTTCCCCCCGAGCTGAGCCAGGAGGGGCCGCAGGCGGCAGACTTCCTCCTCCAACTCCTAGTGGGGAGAGGGGGGTCATGAGTGAGGGAGGTCCCCCCTCCCCCGAGTGTGCCCAGGGCTCCCTCCCCCAGCCACACCTCCAGCTGCTTTATGGCCTCCTCCAGGCTGAGCAGGTTCTCCTGAATTTCCTGGGTCTGCGCAGGGCCCAAGGGGCCACCACCTGGCACCCCATCCCCGTCACGGGGAGGCCCCGCCCCGCTGTCTTCCTCCGTGGGCAACAGGAGCTGCTTCAGGGACAGCACTGGCCGGGGACAAGGGGAACGGAGTCATGAGAGGCAGGGGCTTCCGCTGGGGTCCAGGATGGACGGGGGGGGGTGGCAGAAGCCAAGGGGCTGGAGGGTGAGGAGGGTGCAGGGGTGAGGCTGGGATGGGGTAGGCGGGCACTGCAGACAGCAAGGCTGAATTTAGGGTTAGGGTTAAGGGATGCAGGAAGAAGAGCTTAAGCCACCCAGGACGGTGGTGCAGGCTGGGTGGGCTCGGTGCATCTGTGTTCTGGTGGCTGGACATAAAGAGGCGGGAAACGGGGAGCCTTTTTCTCGTTGGAACGGAGGCACGGATTGGCTGGTGGCTACCCTGGAAGGGGTAGGGCTGAGATACCTTTCTGCAGGGCTGTGGCAGCAAGCTGCCCCTCAGGGCCTGGTCTGCAGAAGGGCAGGAGGTCGCTGAGTATTCTCTCAGTCTGGGCTGGGTGGGTAAACAGGGTACTCAGGTTCCACTGGGCACACCGAGGACACCTCCCATCACCCGCGATCCCCCACCCAATGCCCCCCTGGTCTCACCATCGGCTGGAGGCACCTCTCGGCCGCTGCTGCCGTTCTCAGAGCTGCTGAGTAGGGGTTCTCGGGTGCTGCGGGGAGGAAGTGCTCAGTGAGCCCATGGCCCTGGCTCTGGGTGGCAGCCGGGGCAGGGAGAGAGCTGGAGGTGGGGAGGCGGGACAGCCCAGAGGCAGAGGCAGAGGCGGAGGCCAGGACACAGGGACACAGAGAGGCCTGGAGGTAGGGGACAGACGGCTGTGGTGGGGTTGGCATGTGCACACGCACACACACGCTGAGCTGGGGCTGGGGCTTGGGGTCTAGAGACACACAGGGAAGCCGCCCCATCCTGCCGGCTCCCTCCCTGGTCCCCTTCACCTGCTTGGGCTGGGCCGGGGCTTAGGGCGCGAGGCAGGGGCAGGGACTTTCAGGGATCCAGCAGTCTCAGTGATGAGGGCACACCAGCTGGGGAGACAGGCCCAGGCGCGTCAGCACCTCTAGCCCTGTGCAGGGCCTCCCGCGCCCACACCGCCCCCGGGGGCCCCTCTTACTTCTTCCGCTCCGACACCGTCTGTGCTACCAGCTCGTATATGTGGGCCTCCTGGTCCCAGGTAAAAATGACGTAGAAAGCTTTGTGATCTGTTGGTGGGGAGAAGGGGCTCAGGGCCAGGGGCTCCCAGTAGGCACCCCTTCCTGAGCAGACCGGAGGCCGGGAAGCCTCACAGATGCAATTCACCCCTCACTATCTGTCCGTCTCCCAAGCCACCCACCCTTCCCCAGCCTGACCCTGCCAGGCAGCAAGGCCCCTGGCTGGCTGTACCTACAGAAGCCCCCAGACGCCCCACCATCGAGTGTCTCCCACTGTCGGAGGCCCTGGTGCAACTTCTAGGCAGTGTATTGGCCAGTCCTTCCTGCCTGGGTTCCCAGCTTCCAGCCCCGCACCCTACAATTCCCAACCAGCAGCCAAAATACCAATCAGGGCAGGCCACACCTCAGTGCAAACCAACTCAGGGCCAGTTTCTCTTTCTTTTGCTCCTGGCATGTCCTGCCCACCTCCGCCTCTGCTGGTCTAGCGGGACCCTTCTTAGCCTGACACCCACCCCTTTCTCAGAGTAGGCCCCCCGGCTCCCTGCAGGGTTCTCCTCCCGATGCCACAGGGCAGCTGTGCTCAGATCACCCGCCCTGGGCCACACCGCTGCCGCTCTCACCGGTAGCCACCTCTCGGGTCATGGCGGAAGTGAGCCGCAGCACGGGCCGCAGCATGGTCTTGCCGTCGGGCGTGGGTGTGAGCGTCCGGCTGTGTGACTTGAGCAGCAGCCGCTCGTCTTGGCGCTGCAGCAGCAGCAGCAGGTCGTCCAGCAGCAGCACGTGGACCTCTGAGGGGGCACGGCCAGTGGGCGCTCACACCTAACCCCCAACGCCCTACCTGTTGGCTCCATCCCCGCCACCACCCTGGTGCTCACCCACAGCCTTGTCCTTGGTCACCCGCCACGTCAGTGGGCCCTCATGGACCAACTTCTTCTTGGTGATGTCCAGGTTCTGGGGGCAGGAGGGAGCGACGGTCAGCCAAGGCGAGAGGAAGGGAAGGGAGAAGAGGGGCAGGCAGGACAGTTTCAGGGGCCCCAGGGATCAGTCCTACCCGTGGGGCAGGGAGTGAAGTCAGGAGTTGTGGGGGACACCTGGCTGGAAATAATGCGCCGTGGAGGCTCCCTGGGTGCATCCTCAGTGTGTCAGAATCCCCCAGAGAGCAGGGCCAGGGTGGGCAGTGGGGCCGGGAGGGAGGGACCAGCGGGCCTACCTTGAACTCGCTCAGCATGGGGTCATTGCTCTGCCGTAGGTGGGACAAGTCCAGGCGCCGCTGATAATCCCTGAGCCGCTGGGGCGGAGAAGGGTGTGTTAAGGGGCCAAACCAAGCCCCGGGGCCAACCTTCACAGACCCCCAGGTCAGCCCCCTGGGTAAGCTGAGAGCCAAGGTCACCTTCTGAGGGACAAGCTGAGGTCAGGCCTGCCCTCCAGGGACCTTAAGGGCAGTTGCTGAGGCCCAGGTGACACGTGGATGCTCAGTGACCTCTAGGGGAGATGCTGAGGGTTGGGAGACCCCTGGACACTCGGTTGCCCTGAGGGCAGCCAAGGGCTCTGTCTGGTGTGTGGATAAGGTGAAGACGGGCCCGGCCCCGCCCCACCCCGCCCCGGCCAGGCCGCGCTCGCTCACCAGCAGGTCCTCTGTGTCGCGCACGGCTTGGTTGACATGGTGCAGGATGAGCCGGCAGCACTCAGCTGCCTGCTCCACTTTCTCTCGCTCCTTGGGCTCTTCTGCAGACAAGGAGTGAGCAGCTGCCGTGAGCCCCAGCCCTAAAGCTCCTGCCCTTTGGCCGTGGTTAAGAAAGGGCAGCTGAGCCCACAGGGACGGCGCAGGCTGTGGTACCTGTGTTCTGCCCGATGCTTTGCAGCAGCAAGGGGTACTTGGTCAGCCGCTGCATCTCAGTGGGGATCATGTCCTTTAGCTGCAGGCGGCGGCACCGCGGGCGGCTCTCGGCTTCCTGAGGGGACACCAGCGCAGGGGGGGGATACCGGCCCCACCTCCACGGGCCCTGGCATCCCGCCCCTGGGACCCTGGAGCCAAAGCCCTGCCTCACCTGCACAAAAGCACAGAAGCGAGGCTCCTTCCGCTGTTTGGCTTTGAGCTGCTCTAAGGCAAATGACTGGCGGCTACAGAAGCGGGAGGAGATTTTCTGGAACCAGGAGCCCTCAGCACCATCAAACTACAGCAAGATTCAGGCCAGGGAAGGTCTCAGATGGGACTGGCAGGAACAGAGTCTCGAGCAGGGATGGAGGCCTAGAGTAGGGCAGCCCCGGACCCCGACCCCTGGGACTTGAGCGCAAAGTGGACAGGTCCCAGGCTGGGGCTGGGGGCAGGGGCGGAGCGGGGCACCCTCACCCGGGCCAGGAGCACATCGCCAATCTCCTCAATGAGGTAGCCACTTTCCTGTCTCCGCTTCATCAGACGATCAAGGAATAGGGCTACGGGGGCCAGCGAGGAAAGAGGGGCGCTATTAGGGCCGGAAGACTTTGGTGCTGAGGTGGGAGCGGGTGAGGGTCAGGCTGCAGGTGGCTGTCTCCAATCGTTGGGGCCGGTAAGCTTGTCTCCCAGCCCTCCTGTGCTTGGACAGTGGGTCCTCCTCCTCCCTCGGGAGTGGGCTCTGGGGGTCCAGGATGTGAGGTCCCCAGACGCCGCTTGTGGGGGACACTCCAGGAGAGCAGGCTGGACTGGGGTTCAAGGACAGCCTTAACATAGGGAGACACAGCGACGGGGTGCGGAAGGGCCACGGTCTGGCACTCACAGTGCACCTCGATGAGCTCGTCCAG